GTAAAAGCAAGTTTTCCCACTTTGGAAAGCCACCCCGGCTTGTCATCTGGGGCGATGGCAGGCACGCAGCTCCTCAGCCATTTGTCACACTCTTGGTGTGAGAAATCCCAAAGCAAAGCGCTGCGGGCAGGATGGGATGCTGCTGCTCTGCCCCTCGCTGTGCTGGAGTCCTGGTCAGAAATTGTGGTGCAGGAACTGTGTCAGGCAGTGACCTGAGACCCCGTGGTGGCACAGGGGCCACCGTCACAGCCAGCGCTGCGCAGAGCGCCCGCAGCAGTGCTGAGGCAGCAAGATGCGCTCGGAATAATTGAGAATAATGAAGGAATTTCTGCAAATCAAAGCTCTTTTGCTGACAACCTGCAGACAGAGTCCTGGCCTGAATTCATCAAACGAATCACGGGCCCAGACGCGCTTCCTCAGCTCTGATCCTCTTATTGAACCAGTTCAAAACTGGTTCAGAGAGATTTCCCTCTCTCAAACACGGGCACAAAGGTGCCACAGGTGCCTCCTGCTTTGCAGGGCACGCTCAGTGCTTGTCTCACTGCTCTCTGTGCCGAGATTGACACATCCCTCTGCTCCTGTGGATCCCTCTCTGCAGCTTCTTCTCACAGCACCGATGCTCTGTCACACAGCTTGGGCTCACGTGGACCCCCTCCCTCACACCCTTGTGGGGTTGCTGTTTCTCTCCCACATCTGACGTGTTCTGCTCTCCAGGAACTTCTCAGCCCAAGTGACAGCGCTGGGTGCTGTGATGAGCAGGTCTGTTACAATTTACGGCTCACACCTCAGTCAGGGAATGACAGGCAGGATATCCTAACCTGGCCTCTGGATTCCTCCAGCTGCTGAGTTCTGTAAGCCCTGAAAATGATGCCTTGGCCAATAGAGCTGAAAGGTGAGGGAGGATCACAGGTAGCTGGTGTGAAAGGGAAATATAGGAGTGAAAGGGTAGTGGGATAGAATCCTAGAATAGGAGGGGCTCAGCATAGCTGCTGGGGGGCAGAAGCTGCTCTTGCCTGACCTGCTTGAAACACCAATTCTTCCCTGATTTGCTGGAACCCCTCTGTGTTTCAGTGGCCATTGCAGAATGATGGTCCCAGCAGCAAGACCTGGCTGGGCTCTCCCAGGCTTTCCTCAGCTGAAAGTGCTGGTGGAGCCCCAGTAATCCCAAAGTGACTGATGAAGAGCCAGTGGAGCACCAACCAGACCCTCCTCCCTGTTGCTACGGAGGGACACACTGGTATTTTTACTTCCCTCAGCCTGTGCTAGTCCCAGATGTGCTTGTCCAGGTTCTGGCCCTGGAGCAGCCCTGCTGTTCCTCTCAGTTGCTGTCTGCTAATGGTTGCTGAATTTGTCTAACAGTCCTCATTGACCTCTGCCAAAGCATCTCAGCCTGCAGCAAATACCGACTGTTGCTGCCCTGGATCCTCAGCTTGCTTTGACAATGAACCTTCTTCCCACTCCTCAGCGTCCCCGCTGTCCCCATCCTGGGTACCTGAGTCAGTTTTATTTAGAAGATATCCCTGGGAATGAGTGCCAGGCAGGCCCAGACCAGGATGAACTGCTGTGGTCCCCAGTGTCAGTGAGCCCTCCAGGATGCTGCGTGACACGGGTTATTGACATGACAGAGCTGGTCAATGCAACTGCCACACCAGAGCACAGATTTAAAAGTTGAAAAGCCTCAGGGGACTTGGGAAAAGAGTAAAAAAAGAAAAAAGAACATGCATACAAAATAATTCTCCAACTTTCACATCATGCCCCAGCCCCGGGCAGCTCTGTTCTGCACCATGAACTAATAGCCTGACATTTTTCAGCTAAAGTTAAAACAGTCTGGAACCAGAGCATCATCAGAAATGTGTCTGAAGCAATCTGTGCCCAGCTCCTCGTCTCCTCCACCGCCCTTGGTTATAAAACATTTCCAGTCACCTGCTCTGCTCTGCTGGTCCCAGATGTGTGTGGGGCTGTGCGAGTGGTCCCTGCCCGGGGGCTCTGCCCTGGCACAGGCAGATCCTCCCAGTGTTATTGGCCCTGACACCTGCCCAGGGCCACAGTGACCTGGGACATGTGCCACCCTTTGACTCGGCTCTAAAGCACAGACCAAGCCAGAGGCCACGCTGAGTCACGCGTGGGTTGTAGCTTTGGGAACCAGGGTCCAAAAATCTCTGTGGGGCGGGTGGTGTCCAAAACCCCTCACCAAACCTGTGCCTCTGGGGAAATAGGATCATAGAATCATGGATTATATGGGCTGGAAGGGACCTTAAAGTCCATCTCATTCCACCTGCTGCCTCTAGACCAGGGCCACTAGACCAAGTTGCTTCAAGACCTGTCCTACCTGGCCTTGGACACTTCCAGGGACAGGGCAGCCACAGTTTCTCTTGGCAACCCGTGCCAGGGCCTCACCACCCTCACAGGGAAGAATTTCTTGCATACATCTAATCTAAATCTTCCCTCTTTCAGTTTTGGCACAGCATTTCCTTCCTTGGGGGTGACAGAGGCACTGCCAGTCTGTGGGCTGGCACCTCCTGCGCCTGGGGATCCTGCTGTGTGTGTACCATGGGACTGGACATGACGAGGGGTCCTGAGCCACAGGGAGCCTTCCAGAGGCATCACCAGCTGCTTCCCAGCCTGGATTCCCCCACTTATTCCAATTTCCTACAAGTAAAAGCAAGAAGCCAACTAGACCTCAGGGACTGTATCTGAGACAGCAGCAGCTCGACTGGGTATGGCTGTCTGGGCTCAGCCAAGCATGCTCTGAGTCACTCCAGAGATCACCCTACGGTCATCTCGGATCTCTGGGAATAAAATCCTTGTGGGATCTGGCAGCTGAGCCAACATCCACAGACAGCATGAACAAACACGCGCTTTGGCAATCCTGTGTGCTGAACTTTGCCATCACACCTCGGCCCCCGCACTCACGGGGCTGTGTGTCTGTCCTGCAGCTCTGCCAGATTCACACGCTCACCTGAGGGTCCCTGTTACTCCCTGTGCCAGGACCAGGGTGTGCAGGTTGGGTTTAGGATCTCTCAAGCATTGAATTGCCCTGTCTGTGTGTGGTGAGGGCTGCCATCACCTCTGCCTTGGGGCAGCTGGGAGGAGCAAGATTTCCCCTGGGATTTCATAGTGGGGACAGTGAGGAACAGGTCAGCTCATAGTCAGACCTGGGTGATGGAGAGCGTGGCTGAACTGTGGGCTCAGCATGTCACCCTTTGCTCCAGACCAGTGTGTCTGCAGGCAGGTGAGATGTGACAAAATCTGTGGCAGAGATGAACAAATTGCAGCCAGAGCCCAGACCCCATCATCCAGTGGTGCTGGGCAGCAGAACAGGTCATCAGAGAGCACTGGGAAAGCTGGGGGGACTCTGAGGGTCCCCCAGGTCATGTCAGCCCTCCTTGCAGGGAGCTGTCAACACCGCACAGGGCGAGTGAGGCACGGTTAACACCAGCATGAAGCTGCTCATTACAGCCAGGGTTTAACTAGCTGAGAAAATTCCCCTCCTGCTAATTAAGGGAGCAGAGCACAAGCCCCTCCACAGCTGACATGCACATTAATCACTGGAAAACGTGGAGATTAGGAGCAATCCAATGCCTTTGTGGGCACCACATGTATCAAAACAGTTGCACATGCTGTCAGTGCTCCTGGGCAGGATTTGTCTCTCCCCAAGGCACTCGGAGTGTTGGGGTTCACAGGACATTTGGCAGCCCCAGATACACCAGGAGGGAACTTGGCCCCTGGAACAGGGTTTTGGAGCCTCTGCCAGGTGTCCCCAGTGCCAGTTCTGTATTCCAGTGTCCCCATAACCTGCGTAGGCAGCGGGAACTGAGCACAACCTCCAAATCCGCTCTTGTGTTTGTCCAAGAGCAACTGCACAGAAACAGATTTTCGAGACATGCATACCCCCCCACCGCCTGACTCTTCCATGCCAGATGGGGAGCAGAGCTGTGAGTGCCACCCTCCCCTCAGCCCAGAGTCAGCAGAATGGATCCCAGGGCAGAGGTGGTGCCACAGCAGGGACTGCAGTGGGTCTGCAGGTGATGCTGCTCGTGGCTCTCTGCCACTGAGTGCTAACCAGAAGGGTTTTTTCCAGCAGGCGGATGTCCAGTGACATCCCTACATCCCTGTGACGTGTGCCAGAGGCAGCAACACCTTCAGCACCGACTCCAGCAGTGAATGAGCCTTATGGATGTTCTGTCCATGGATAACTGGCTGCTTCCATCTCTCCTGGCGTAGGGTGTGGAATCAGGGCTGAGAAACTGTAGGTGAGGGAGGAAAAGGCCATTGCTGCAGCATTCCCAGTTAAGCCAGTTCAAGACATTGGCTGTGCAAATGCTTCCCAGAAGAAGCACCAGACAAAAGAGATTTGCTGTGGCTGAATCTTCAGATTGCACTGTGAACACACCGTGATAAATCTTCAAATTCCACTTAGATGTTTAGATGTTATCAGAATAGTTAAAAGGGTGTCGTGATTTTACAGACAGGGAGAAAGAAATTCCTTGTTTTTCTGATACAAGGACCTGGAGGTTGTAAATAAAATCTCCAGAAATTTTCAGATTAAAAAAAAAATGGTAAAACCTTCCCTCGTCCCAGCAGTGCTGGGGTCCCACTTGCCCTGCATGCAACTGCTTGCAGAGACACCTCCCTGATGACCATTTCACCCCAAAGCTCCTTCATCATTACCACTGGGAAAGGACTGCTTTAATGAAGTTTTGTTCCCATCTGTCCCATCCATCACCAGCACCAAAAAGGCTCCTCCTGCCCCTTGTCCCCTACTCCAGCAGGTTTGCTGCTTCCCTGGCTGATGTCTTCATCACACGAGCACCATAAGCACCATCTGCCCTGGTCCCCACCAGCACCCCAGCACTCACCCCATCATCACCCCAGAACCCACCCCATCATCAGTCCAGAACCCACCCCACAGCACATCTCCCAAAGGGATCAGAGAACACCCATTTTCAGAGAAAGCTCCCAAAAGCAGTACCGTGAGGGAGACACGGAGCAGCGGCAGCGTCTCCCGTGGAATTCCCACAGGATGCTCCAGTATTCCTGAGGAGCCTCTTACTGGTGTCAGAAACAACTCCCTCAGCATTAACTCCTGATTTTCTTTCACAGCTCATGTACCTCTCGGTGAAGAGGGCAGAGGAGAGAAAAACATGAAGAGAAGTTTATGGTTTTTAATTTTTTTTCCCCCCAAACTTCACCCATCCTGGGCATATGGCCAGAAAGCAATAAAAATCTGTTCTGTTTAGAAACAGCTTAGAAACATATAAATAACAACAGTTTGGGGTGGCAAGAGCTGCAAATACAGGGAGTTGGAAGTTCTTGAGTTTATTAACATCCGAAGGGGATAACGAGAGCTTTATGACGTCTAATTGAATTAAACACTCCAATTTGGGGATGTAAAATTTGCCATCATGAGCCATAATTATACACCTTCCTGGCGCTGTTGTTGTTTCTCTTCAAGCTAAAAAAAAAAAAAATATGAGGAAGCGGAGTTTTAATTGATGTAATAAATTGATTTGTGCCTGTTGCTCAATGATTTGTGGGTCTGGGGAGGGGAGCTGTGACCAGTGGGCTGGGGGGGTGGTGTATGAACACAACCCTCACCTGGGGCCCAAGCCTGCTTGGGGCAAGGGGTGCAGGAAGAAAAGGGGGTTCCCCAGTACTCCCATCCCCTGCCTCCTTGGGGTAGCAGGGAAGCTGCCTTCAAGGCTCAGCCCAGACTGGCTGTGTCTCCTCTCCAGTGCTAACTGAAAAAAGATCTAATTTTTAGCTGGACTAGGGAAAAAGTCCTCATTAGCGTGTTGTGAGTGTGTCAAGTCCTTGGAAGACCTCACTGGGGCAGCCCCAGGAGAGGGGAAAATATATGAATCTTTGTGAGGAGGAGGATGGGGGAGGCAGTGCAACCAGGGATGAGAGACTCAGCCATTTGTTCCCAAAGGAGATCTCCCACCACTGTGAAAAACATAGGGCTGGGCTGGGATGTGGAGCTGGGGAGCGGAGCGAGATCCCACCGAGCAGGGATGCTGCCACAGGGGAAGGATGCAGGAGGAGGAACCTGAGAGAGGAGGGTTCCCCTCCATGGAGGAATGCCAGAAGCCTGGCATAAGCTCCTGGATCTCTCCTGGAGGAGAAGAAAGCAAACACCCTCTTGTCTCCTCCAGTGACACGTGCAGGAGCAGCTGCTCCCCCAGCAATGTCTTCCAAAAGCTTCTGGGAGCAGAAGTGTTGCAGCACCAACATGAAACATAGTGCAGCTCGGGTGGAGTGCAGGTCCCTTGGATGGGCATGGCCTGGCACAGGGGCTGCCATGGGCTGGGACAGTGAAAACCAGGGGAAAGGATAAGTCAGTAACCAGAGAGGGCTCTGAGTCTGCCAAGCAATCTGCAAGGAAGATCAAACCTCTGCCAGTCCCAGTAATACCAGAACAGAGCAGACCCACTGCAATTAAAAAATAAAAAAAAATGTTCTCCTGTGTCCAGGTTTTTAATTTCAATCCAGGTTCTTTGGAAATAAACACACATCAAAGGCGAAAACCAGGAGCACTGGTCTTGGCTGTACTGCTCACCCACGCTGGGTTTGTTTTCCTGTACACTGGTCCCTGGCACAGCGAGATGGAGCTGCAGTGTCAGACTGACCATCCCACACATCCCTGCTTGTGAGCCAGGGGCAGGGAACCTTGGGAACGGCTCCCACTGCACAGGGAGCCTGCTGGGAATGCTGTGCCTGTCTCCAGATTACATGTCCTTGGTTTAGCAGAACACTCGGTATTAAAGAACTGGGATGAGAGTCCAAAAACCAGTCACCTTCACTGGTGCTGCTGTGAGCCTGGAGTGATTCCCCTCCATCAGGATACGGGAGAGCTGACTCCTTGTTTGCCATGGCACAGCAGCTGCCTTGCAGCATAATGCCAGTCCTCAAACAAAAAGATCTGAGTCTAATTCTAGTGTCTGGTTTCTGATTATGTTTCTGCAGAGTCCTTTTATATCATCAGCCTGGTAACACCTCCCTTTTCAAGGCAGATCTATTCTTCACACCTAACCCACTCACTGAATTCTCTGAAGAAATACAAACATTGGAACATGTCAGAAATTCCACAGCTCTGCCTGTGGGAAGGGGGTTCCCCGGGTCTCCAGTCTGGCCACCCTCTCGGAGCAGGGGGTTCCCAGGATCCCCAGCCTGGTCACTCCCTTGGAGCAGGACGATTGGCAGCTCTTGGTCAGGGCTGGTGGAGACACCTCATGTCTGGGTGACAAACCTGGCCACCCCATACCCAGACACTTTGTTCAGAAAATGAATTGGTTTTTGCTTGGCTGCTTAAGGTGGGTAGTTGTGCCACCCTGGGGACTCACTGGGCCAACTCGGGGCAGGTTGGGCTCTAGGAGGGAGGGAGCAGCGTTTGCCACTCTCCCTCAAACCTTCCCCAGCCCTAACCAAAAGCTGATGGAAAATTAAACCTCACGTGGAGTATTTCAGTCCATAAAATATAACCAAATTTAAATTAACCCAGCACACCACCAGAGTCACTCAGATGGTGTCCGGATGACTGGTGAATGGCACCAGCCACAGGCAATCAGAGGAAGAATGCTGCTGTTAACAGATGGCAGGCACTTAAATTTCCCCCTATTTCCAGGCTGGATGTCTAAAAGTTCAAACAGCAACACTCCAGGCTACAAATAATACCCCAGGGTGTAAACCTCAGGATATAAATCATAGAATCACAGACTGATTTGTGTTGGAAGGGACTTTAAAGCTCATCTTCTTCCACCCCCTGCCATGGGCAGGGGCACCTTCCACTAGACCAGTTTGCTTCAAGCCCTGTCCAAGCTGGCCTTGAACACTTAAAGGGATGGGGCAGCCAACTTCAAATACCCCAGGACACAAACCCCAGGGTGCCAAATGTTGCTGGCTGTGCCCATCAGCCATCAGCCAAGGGCTGCTCTGCCTGCAGCCTGGATTCAGAGCTTCCCATGCCTTCACAAGTTCCCACTGCATTCCCACGCTGTCTGAAGGACACACTGGATGTCAGCCGGGCTGGAAAGCACTGGGGTGACTGTGCTGGCCCCCAGCCCATGCCCCTGTCCCTCCCAGCACAGCTTGCAACAGCCCTCCCCTGGCCCCAGGGACAGTTTGAGGAGTTTGTTCTTCTTCTGTCCCCAGTCCTTTGTGACCCATTGCAGGGGCAAAGAATTGTGAACTGGAGCAGGGACAAATCCAGCTGAGAAATAACCCAAAAAGAAAAAAAGAAAAAAAAAAGGACAAGAAAGAGGGGTTATTTTTCAGCTCTCTGATTTCTCAGTTGGGTTCGTTCTGTACTGGCTTAGTGGGAGGACAGGGAGGAGATGGTACTGTGAGCACAGCTCGCTCCAGGCTGACCCTGTCCTCTCCTGTCCCGAACCATTTGCAGCCCAGAGCTGGGAGCTGCCCAAAGGCTGGAGCTGGGCCAGCCTCCAGCAGAGTTCCTGAGCAAAGGGTCACCTCCATCCCTGTCTGTAGGGAGAGGCAGCTGGGAAGGGACTCAGTAACCTGGGCAGTTCATGGCTGCCTGTCCTGGGCATCTGTAACCTCTTCTTACCACATCACCTGACAGTCAGTCCTGGCATGGGAGCTGCAAACAAATGTGCTGTGTGCTTGTGAGTAGAGACAATTTTGATATTGACAAGTACTTCATGGCCTCACAAGAGGTGCCTGCTCCTTGCTCCCAAACAACGGTGAAGGGATATGTGAATGTTAGGGCAGTGATTTATCCACTGAGGTCCCCAGCTGTGATGCTCAGTGGGAACAGAGGTTTACTGAGGACTTGTGGTGTGTTTTAACCCACAAGAGGCTAATGTGGGGCTTGCTCTTTGCTCTGTCCCCTCTGCTTCTGCCTTCACCTGGTGTTGAAGTGGCTCATTGCTTACTGAAACTGGAGGGATGATGCCAGGGGCATGTTGGCAGCTGAGCCTGGCAGCAGGGACTGTGCTGCACAGCATCCTCACCAGCATCCCCAGACTTCCCTCCCCAGCAAGTTTCCCAGACCTTGATTTTCTCAGAGCAGGTGTCTCTGATGACAGTGACTGTCTTTGAGAGAGCAGCAGGAGAGAGAGAACATTTGTGCTGCTGGCACCTTGCTGCTGCTGCTGCACCAGGAGCACAGCACAGCCCCAGAGCAGCTGTCTGCACCCTGAGCACCAGTGTCTCCTGCACCAGCTTCTCCCCAGGCTGTCGCCCCTGACAGCACAGTGGACTGAGCCACCCTGCTCAACCTCTGAATAAAAGGTCTTAAAGACCTTTGTGAGAGAATGTGGTGCTACTGGGGGCCAGAGATGCTCTTTTCATGTGTCAGCCCCTTCCCAGACCTGGCAGAACCTTTCTCCCTGCGCTAAGGTCGCATGGGCTGCTTGCTCCTTCCTCCCAGGCAGGATTTCTGGGAGCAGGGAGCAGTTCTGCCCCACGTGCAGCTCCCGTGTTCCAGAGGATGGGTTTCCAGGGAGTCCTGCAGTCCCTGAACAGGGGTTTGTGCTCCTCCAGCTGAGGGGGCCTCTGCCCAGGGGGCTTCAATGAGGAGAGGTAACTGGGAGGTGGGTCTGACAGCGTGGGTGCAGGCAGTGGGAAATGCCAGTGGATGCAGCCTGGAAGTGATGACGCACGTGGTCAGCACAGAGACAAGCTGCAGCCAAGCCCCAGCACATCAATCCTCCCCAGTGTGTCTGCGCTTTCACAGGCTGAGGTGAGTCCTTCTGACAAGCCCACCCTACTGCCATCGGCTTTTAAGCCTCTCCCAACCCCTCAGCCTCCTGCCATGCACAGGCACGTGCATCCCAGCTCCAGAGCAAAGGCAGGAGCACCTGGATCCTCTTGCACAGAGTGGAGCTGCACTCACACCACTGGCCAGCCCTGCTCCCTGATGGCTCCCCACCATGCTGTCCACCTGTTCTGTTTCTATTGATATTCCAAACTCCAGCAGCCTGAAATCCCCTCTGAAAAGGCCCCTTTCCCTCCTGATGGAGCTGACAGAGCACTTGGGCAGCACCAAAGCAAGGAGAGGGTCCTGTAGTGTTCCCTTACAATGTCCCCCCAGAGCAATCCCCTTGGGCTCACAGGCAAGCTCTACCAGTCAGGAAAGGTCTCATGGATTTGGTCTTTGGCACACTGGTGGCACTGAGCAGGTGGCACTGGGCTGGAAGCAGAACTCTGAGAACATGGATGGGAGCTGCTGGAGTTGGTTGGAGCCCCATTCTCCCACACTCTGGCAGCGGGGGACAGGTGCCTTGGTGAGCTCCCTGAGTGCCTCAGGGCCAGCAGCTCCATGCTGCAGGAGGGCTGTCTGCAGTACCAGTGCAGGTAGGTCTGCACCATCACCTTCAGGGGCTTGGTGAGGAGCATGTGTCCCACTCCTCCCTGGTCTTCCAGAGGTGGAAGGACCTGTGTTTGTCCTTTTAGTGTTGCTTGAGCACCAGAGATGATGCTGCTGTACATCCA